GTCTGAAGCTCAACATCAAAAAAACTAATATCATGGCCACTGGTCCCATCACCTCCTGGCAAACAGAAGGGGAAGATATAGAGGCAGTGACAGATTTCACTTTCTTGGGCTCCATGATCACTGCAGATGGTGACAGCAGCCACAAAATTAAAAGACGCCTGCTTCTTGGGAGGAAAGCGATGACAAACCTCGATAGCATCTTAAAAAGCAGAGACATCACCTTGCCAACAAAAGTCCGAATAGTCAAAGCTATGGTTTTCCCTGTAGTGATGTACGGAAGTGAGAACTGGACCATAAAGAAAGCTGACCGCCGAAGAATTGATGCTTTTGAATTGTGGTGTTGGAGGAGGATCTTGAGAGTCGCCTGGACTGCAAGGAGAACAAACCTATCCATTCTAAAGGAAATCAACCCTGAGTGCTCACTAGAAGGACAGATCCTGAATACTTTGGCCATCTCATGAAAAGAGAAGACTCCCTGGAAAAGACGCTGATGTTGGGAAAGTGTGAAGGCAGGAGGAGAAGAGGACGACAGAGGATGAGATGGATGGACAGTGTCATCGAAGCGACCAACATGAATTTAACCCAACTCCAGGAGGCAGTGGAAGACAGGAAGGCCTGGCGTGCTCTGGTCCATGGGGTCACAAAGAGTTCGACACAGTGAGTAAACAATTCTATCTGAAAGTCAGTGATGGACAAGGGCTCAGGAGACATGGGTTCAAATGTCTCTTCAAACAAGTAAACTCCCTGGCAGGTCGCACTAGTAAATCTACCTTTTAAAGAGTTAACATAGTCAAAGAACCCTAGCAGGGCCACCACAACTTGTAAATGACTTGATCACACGTAACAAGGGAGAGGATTTCTATGACATTTCATATTTTCTCTGCAACCTACATTTGAACCCATAAGGAAGTCCAAACATGTTCATGACTAATCTGGCCTATCTCGCCAGATTACTCATAAAAATGTTCAAACCCACCCATAAGCTCAAACATAGGCTGCAGAAAACAATATGACATGTCATAGAAATCCTCTCCCTGCACATAACACATACATTTTGCCTTGCTTGAAGAAGCTCTAGTGTTTGGAAAGAATGATTTTGGGATCCACTGATCATAATAAAATGCATTTTTCTCATCTGTACAAACACCACATGCCTGTGTATGCATAATCTTCTTAACAGCTATATTTTCATTCCATGTGTTTGAAGAGTAATTGCTAACAACATACAAGAAAATAATTTGTTTGAAGCTAATTAAGCAACTTTTCTGTCGTGCCTCTATTTGATGTTCTCTATTCTCTGGAATACAGCTGTGCTTTGGGGGGGATGGGGAGACTCATCTATGTAGCAGACTAACACATAATAAAGAGTGTGATTTTAATGTTTATTAGTCAACCCCTGCAGTGTAGTGTGTTGAAATGCTAGTACAGGCAGCCTATTGTGCCTGTAAAGACACTAGTTAATGCTGTCTTGAATATAGGGGTTAACTTAACAAATGAGCATGTTTAAACAGATGGTAAGCAGATACCCTCAGCCATCTTTCTTAACAAGTTATCACACACTCAGCCATCTCTTAACCTGCCATCTGAGCCTGCCATCTGAGCCTGTACTCAAAACTGCTCAAATGGCGTGGGCAAACTGATATCAAAACTTCCAGTACAGCCTATTCGAAAAGGCTCTCCAGATGAACGTCAAGTTTCTTGTTTGCTTATTCTATTTTATTTATATCCCATCTTCCCTTTTCAGGTAACATACATGGTTCTCCTCATCCTAATTTTGGTTTAGGTAGTAGAATTTCACTATACTTGTGCAGGAGGGGCACTGGATGGGTGAATCCATGCAATGATGCTATGTTTTTGTATTTTAATATTTTATTTAAGGACTTTAGAGACTATACACTTGGAGCAGATTCGTTTCTGTTGTGAATGTCCTGTGGCAGTCAATAATATATCTGGGACTTTGCAAGCCTACAGATCTGATATATGGTAAAAACTGTTCTCCAATTTTTCTCTTTCTACTATTTTCCATTCTAAGAAAGTGTTCAGTCCTGCCCTAAGACCATCTGAGCAGCAAATCAATCAGAAATATTAGGGGTTATTTACACGGGCTCTTTTGGGGGCAGGCTGGCGCAATATGACACTTGATGCAATCCTCACAACCAAATGGCATATCAGAGCTCAAGTGGGGCTTGACCAAGAGACTGCAACAGGTCTAGAATGCAGCTGCCAGACTGGTGGTGAGTGTGAGTACATTTGATCACGTCACTCCAGTCCTGACCCTCCTGCACTGGTTCCCTGTTGCATCCTGGTCAAATTCAAGGTGCTTACCTACAAAGCTCTCCATGGTGTGGAGTGGAACGGGTGGAGTGTCTTTCCCCAATAACATCTACCCACACCACCAGATCCATCCAGACAATGCTCCTCCAGGTGGCCACGCAGGAGGAGGCCAGGAAAACATCAACAGGAAATCAGGCCTTTTTGGCTATGGCACCCACCCTTTCAAATAAACTCCTGGTCAAGCTGCATCTGGCCCCCTTCAGCCTACCTTTAAGACGCTGCCAAAGATGGTGCTCTTTAGAAATGTGTTTGACAGCAATCTCGTATGGTATTTTCACCATTGCCCACCATCATAAAATGCTGTGCCTTCTGCTTTTGTTTTTTTGATATGTTGATTTTTTAAATTATTTTGAATTATTGTTTGTTATTGCTTTCATCTTTAGTTTGTTAACTGCCCAGAGTAGTGCATTGCACTAGTGGGGTGGTAAATCAATCAATCAATCAATGAACAGATTTGGTTTTGCTTCTTCCAGTGGGGATTTTTGAAATCATGAAGTGTCTTAATTAAAGAGCCATTTCAAAATATTGGCAAATTAAACGTTCCCTCTGTTCCTCAACAGAGGCAAAGGAAGAGGGAGGGGGGGATTAAGACTGTATTAGGGCAGAAAAAATATACTGCATCACTTATAAAAAGTGGATCTTGTTCACTCCAGCCAAGATGTAGCCTCACCTCTTTCTTTAGGAGCAAATCAGCCCATATCTACACCCATGTAGTCAACCTCACCATCTCTGTCTCTGTCTCCATACCCATGCATTCACATGCATTCATATGTCAGTGCATATCTGCCCTTGCCCACACAGTATTAGATTTTGCTTATAAGGGCAGATGAGATACGCCTGTTGAGTCATTCATCCATAGTTAAAACACTCTTTGCATTTTTCATGACTGGAGAGAAATGCCACCGTCCCATTTAATCCAATACGTTCTAAAGAAAAGGATGCAGCAAAGTGCCTTTTCTCTACTCCTTCTACAGACATAAGTTTCTAATTCTGTCCATCTGGTCTTTTACACAAAGGTCATGACTGTGATGTAATAATGCCTTTATATCACCTCTGACCTCGTTGGTATGTGTCCAGTATAATGCACCAGCTTGTAACTGGTGACTCACAAGCTGAGAGTGATCCATTTTGAAACTCCAGCTGCACTATGATTGGATGGGAATCGCACAGACTCTTTCATACCAGACAACTTTCTGGAAACTATTAAGAAAAAATGCACACAAAATATTTTTATATTTATTTAGGACAGGTGTAATATACGTATTGACCACAGGGATGATTACATATGGGGAAGTGACCCTTTTTTATGTTGGGCTGACAGTTTTTGTTTCCTGTATCCTCTTACAAAAAAGAAGTGCAGAGTGGTGAAACGGCAGCCTCAGTAGCTTGATATCCATTTTCTGGTGTTTAATGGCTTGTGACTTTACATTATTCCAATTCTGTCCTGCCAGAAAAAATAATCAACAATATTTACCAAGAGAATAAAATTTGCCTATTCAGGAAGAAAATCTTAATTAACACTACAGGTTATAAGCAATTGATTTAATTTAAAATATCTTAAGTTGAGAACATAGAGCTTGAACAACATTCTGTAACTGGAAAACTGAATGGAAATAGAGCTTGAGAAAGGTCCTTTTTCCTGGATTACAAATACCAGAATCCCACAGGTGGCATGGCTGGGATTTTGGGGACTCGTAGTCCGAGAAATAGATTTTTTTCCCAAGCACTAGTAAGAATACAGTTAGCCACTTCAGGCATAATGTTAAAAGCTTAGCTTAATGTGAATTAAACCAAATGCACCTTTGGCTCACATACTCCACTTTCTCCTGTTTTGGGACAAGTGCAAAGGGAAAATGGAAGCATCTATGTTTAGATTTAGGCTGACTATGAGTTGTCGTTTAGGTGGTTTATCGAATCAAAGCAAAGCAACTTGGTTTGTCTGAATCAAAGCCAAGAAAGAAAGAAAGCAGAACTGGTCAGAAATCTTCCTCAATTTTTGCAAAATAAATATTTTGGTTTTTAAACACTACAGAGAGGATCTGTGATCTGTTCAGAAGGTGAATCACTGCTTCTGGAGGCTTCTAGAAGAAGACATTCACATATTTTTGCAAGGTATAACCAATTTTTGGCATGGAAAGGGAAAGTCTGATCAGGCCATGGGGTACAAAAAGAGTTGTGAGGGGAACACTTGCAGATCCCTGGCCACACTTCGCCCACTGCATTTAAACTGAGGTCAAACAAACAAAGGTTTATAAATATAGCCCGTTTCAGATGTAGGAGATGTGGGTAATTCAAACTGAATTGGAGATGCTTCCAATTTATTCTTCTGTCTTGCATGGAAGAGGAGAGGGCAGGGAGAGGGGGTGTTTATCATCAAGGCACAGGTTGGTGTGTTTCCATTGAGCAAAACTGTGGTTTAGCATTATATCTGACAGGAACAAGATTATGAAGGCTCTTAGTTTTCCATTTCATGGCGGATCCAACTGATCTTGGGAACCAGCACAACAGAGCAGCAGGATTCTGCTCTAATTGCAAGAAAGTCACTTTCAAAGATATTTTGAAGCCTGCAAAGAATGGGAGGAAACTCCTAAGAACATGAAACTTGACAGCACCAATGCAGAAGACAAGAAGCATAACAAAACTCCAAAAGTTATTTATAAAGAGTGAAGGATATTTAAAAAGAAGGACCAAAGGGGAAACCAGATGAAAAAACAAGAGCACCTGAGAATATTATTGGATGTTTTCTGGCATGATCGCTACCCTTATAGCATTTAGAAGTCCATCCATCCATCCATTCAATGCATTCACACCCTGCTCTTTTAACTAAAAAGGCTTCCAGAGTGGCTGAGAAAATGTGTGGCATATGATAGTCCCTGCTCTCAGGTTTACAATACAAAATTGTAGACACAAGAAATGAGGGATCTGGAGGGAAAGATTCCATTCTGTTAGAACAGAATATAGAAGGACAGGATGGTTTTCAAGAGGAAAAGTTGTCAGACAACGGTGCATTTTATCTCTGTCTGTTCAATTTGTATGCAGACTATATCATTTGGAAAACCAAACTAGATTCAGATGAAGGAGGAGTGAAAATTGGTGGAAGAAGTATCAGTAATTGAAGATATGCAGATAATATTATATTACTAGTGGAAAGCAACAATAATGTGAAATGACTTTTGGTGAAAGTGAAAGAAGAAATTGCCATAAAGGACTGCAGTTGAATGTTAAGAAGACAAAAATCATGACTACAGAACTACACAACTTCAATGCTGAAAATGAAGAAACTGAAATAGATTTTGTTTACCTTGGTTCAACCATCAATCTAAATGGAGACCCCAGCCAAGAATCAGAAGACTGAGACTTGAAAGGGCATCAATGAAGAAATTAGAAAAGATCATCAAATGCAAGGATGTGTCACTGGAGACCAAGACTAAGACCATCAATATTATTTTACTCCCGATTACTATGGATGGATGTGTAAATAAACAGGAAAAAATTGATTAATTTGAAATATGATGCTGGAGGAGAGCTTTGCAGATACCCTGGACTGCCAGAAAGACAAACAAGTGGGTTCTAGATCAAATCAAGCCTGGATTCTCCATAGAGGCAAAAATGTTGAAACTGAGGCACACAAGAAGGCAGGATTCTCTAGAAGAGACAATAATGCTGGGAAACGTGGAAGGCAGCAGGAAAAAGGAAGAACAAATATGAGATTTATTGACTCTTTAAAGGAAGTAACAGGCTTGAGTTTACAAGAGACTGACAGGGCTGTTGAAGTCAGGACATTTTAGAGATCACTCATTCATAGCACTGCCATACAGATTAATGGTGGTGGATTACTCATGGGGAAAAAGAAGGAGGAGGCATTATGGCAGTTTAATCTCCACTCCAGTCTCCCATCAGTTTATCACTGTGTTTCTTTGTTAACCATTATACAACTTAAATAGTTGATTGGCTACTGCCAAAACTCTTGTATTAGTCAATGGAGATACTGCTGATAGGTTTCCAAATTTATAAGCAACTGGAGCTTATGAACAATTTCTTTATCTTGATCTGCAGAGAGTATTTTTAATAGAGGTGGGAGGGAAATAGCTATGCCTCCTGGCCCAGAGAAGTTCTCATCCAGAACAATGCAGAGTCAGATTCTGGCAGCTGGACTCCCAATAAAAGCACTCTAAAATATCACTTTAAACATCCTGCTGACTAGCTGGATGTGCATCTGTCTGCATAAACTGAAAGAATGTGAAGGCGTTGTAGAGAAAAAGAACAGAATGAGCCATCCCCTCAACTAGATACTGAAAGAAAGAATGTGAAGGTGTTGTAGAGAAAAAAAACAGAATGAGCCATCCCCTCAACTAGATATGCCTGAAAGGAAAGAAGAAATAAAAGCAGGGAAGACAATAGAAAGTGAAGAGCTGAATGTAGAGGAGGAGAAAGAAAAGGAATTTAAGGGAAAGAGGGAAAAGATTGTGATTTTTCTGGTGGAGGAGAGAGGAGGAGAAAGAGAATGTGAAGGTGTTGTAGAGAAAAAAAACAGAATGAGCCATCCCCTCAACTAGATATGCCTGAAAGGAAAGAAGAAATAAAAGCAGGGAAGACAATAGAAAGTGAAGAGCTGAATGTAGAGGAGGAGAAAGAAAAGGAATTTAAGGGAAAGAGGGAAAAGATTGTGATTTTTCTGGTGGAGGAGAGAGGAGGAGAAAGAGGGGAGGAGTTAATTTTACCCCTGTGAGAGAAGGAAACAGGAGAGGAAGGCGGGAGGAGACAATTCAGTATACAGATGACAGGAGAAAGGAAGGGAGGAAGAGAAAAAGGGGAAAGAGAAAACAATTGGAGTATGATAGAATGTGAGGGTTGTTAGAGGACTTCTTAAAGTTAGGAGGACTGCTACCTGATCTGGATACATCTAAGGATAGGGGGACATCGGTGGATCCGTTAGAATGGATAGTCGTTATTTTTCCATGGGGACAAGATCCCTTGAGGAACGTGATTTGTCCGGACTCTTCCTTCAACCATCCACCACCGGAGGGAGATTGGGCAAGACATCCTTGTTGTGGGACAATTTGCGTGGTCCAGAGTGCTCCGATGAGGAAGCCCACCAATCGGGAACGTTTTGGCCCAGCCCCTTAATGAATCCTGTCAGTTCTCAGTCAGAATTGTTATCCTCACAGAATGGACAGTTACCCGATATCAGTTTGTTTGAACCAGTAGAAGTTATTGTTGATTCACCTAATGTTAAACCAAATAAACCTGTTAATGTTGAAAAAGAGACTCAGTTGTCATTTCCCGCTAAAAGAGAGGAACTGCTCCAGATTTTTAATTCACCCTTAAATAAGATGGCAGGCTTCTTTTTCTTTTAATTCACCCAATCACAAAGAAGTGTAAGATTTGGGGAGAAGGCATTGGACACCAATGGGCAGAGGTTTTTCCTGTCACTGATTTTCATAGCTGTAGCTGCTGGGAACTAAGCCTTGGGCATAGATCTCCTGAAACCACTGGGATTAAAAGCAGAAACCTCTAGAAATCAAAGGGTGCCACTATGACGCTACTGAAAATGACCATGAGCCTTTGCTGCAGATTCCAACTTAAGCCCCAGATCAAACTCTCTGCACAGCTATCTGTTGAGTTGTCCCACAGAAGTTCTTCTACCATCATCTGTTCCCAGGAGACCAGTGCCTGGTTTCCTGGAGAAGATTTTTAGCACAGCATGTGTGGAAGGTTTCCTGTACTAGCACAGAATACCGCAAACTTTGCCTCAAGAGCCATTATAAACCACAAGCAGAGAGAAATAAAGTGCCATCTTGATGAAGAGAAGCAAAAGAAGCCTGCCATCTTATTTAAGATTTTAACATGAATGTAAACTGAAATAATTGCCATCTGCATTAATTGCCTTGCTCTCATTTTGTATCAGAATGCTTTCTTCTCACTGAGCGCTACTGATTTTCAAGACAAAAAGATAATAATCGGGACCATCTGCATGACGTGTGGGTGGGAGTTAGAGATTTTCAGTCCATTCCTAATTGTAAATCATTGTTATTTATTTAGTGCAATAAGCATGCATCCGTTAATAGTGATTGCAGTACATTTAAGAAGAGTGATAGTTCCCTGCAACTGACACTTTTATTGTTAGCAGAAGGAAGTGGGAAGGAGAGTTATCAAATGGATTTGCTTGAAAAGAGAGGCAGACAGGGTTGATTTGAGAATTACTATACATTACAGGCTAAAACTAGATCTCACTAAATAACATTTATCCTGAGAATCCTGGAAACGCAAGCATGTGTATTTCATAACTTTGCCTTAAAGCTGGAAGGCTGCTGTTTTGGTGGACTAAGTCGATCTCCCAAAATATGGCATTGTATCAGCTGCACTTAGAATATATCACATTCTTGTCAAAAGCCTCTTGGTGATGGCAATTGGGAGGGGCTGATTCTAGATATGCATTTGGAC